GAAAAGGAAGTTCGCTACGGCTGATAACCTAAGGTTATGCAGCAGCGAACCCCAAAACACAACAACGTGCAAACGCACTATTTTCTTGAGCCACAGTAGAGCAAAGTACATGATCAGTTTCAACAAATCCTATGTATTCTTGGGCTTCTTTTGTGGCTCCTAGGTTTGACAGTACATAGGTCTTAATGCCTTTGATGTGGTGCTCTGCAAAAGAGTGCCTATGGCTTCCTTAACTCATTTGTGGACGCAAAAGGATTCTCTTCCTATTCTCCGGCCTAGGAAGAGAAATAATTTCAAGTCCGTTCCTTCGCCTGTTTTGTGGATGCCTGGCCTATGACAAATCCAAGCTTCACGAATCAAGCAGCAGCAGCTCAAACAACAGCCCACAAAAAGTCTGATCTCCCGAATCCTGAGCCAAATCGCCAAACCCCAAAGCAAGAGCAGCAAGCCTCAAACACCTAAACTGACCCTGAACCCCAAGACGCTGCCTACTGTGGGGGAAGTGTCCAGAAGTACTGCAACTGGGGCTGGGGTATATTGGATCACATCCATAAATAGAGGGTCCCAATATATATATATATGTGTATATATTATATATAGATAGACTCCAATACACTATAACCCTCATGATCAGGACTCCACCAAAAGGGGCCACTGATAAGTTGCATCAAAAGCTTTGGGGTATTGTATCCTCTGGCTCCAAGATCCAAATACTAGGGTCTTAAGTACCCAAACGAAAACAGGCTAAAAAAAGAGCAAGTCTTTACTTGGAACTAAACCCTAAAGCCCTAAGAGCTGTACTCGGACACTTCTGGGCTAGGCCGATCCATGCCGGTAAGGCAGAACAGCAAAAGACCTGCAATGTGCAGCTTCTTACGGATTCTTAGGCAAGTGTGGTAGTAAATGTAGTGACTTTTAGGGTGACTACACAAATATTCTGATAAGGGTCCACCCCCACACTCTCTCCAAACTTCAGTGTTTTGGTTCTGGGCTTCGGGCTTCGGTCTTGGGTGCGCAGCCCTAAACCCTAAACCCTTAACCCTAAATCCTAAACCCTAAGCTCTTAACCCTAAACCCTAATTAACCCTAAACCCTAAATCCTAAACCTTAAATCCTAAACCCTAAGTCCTAAACCCTAAATCCTAAACCCTAAACCCTTAACCAAAAGTGAGCTGCAGGCTCTGAGTTGGAATAGAAGGAGGTTACTTCCAAAACAATTCACTACTTGGAGGGTCAGGGGGCTTAGTTAGAAGCTAATAGCCCCTATAACCCAAATAGTAATTAATAGGGCTTATAGGGAGAATGGAAAAGAAAATGGAAACTACTATTTAGGGTTTAGGGTTTGGGGCTTACTTGGAGGGTCAGGGGGACTTAGTTAGAAGCAAGGACCCATTGGGGTTATATTGGGGTTCTTATGGGATAATGGGAATTAAAATGGAAACTACTATTTAGGGTTTAGGGGTAGGTTAACATCCCCTATAACCCACATAGTAACCCTAATTATCCCCATTATTAACCTACTTACTAAATCCCCCTGACTCCTGACCCTCCAACTAGCCACTTCCCCCCACAATCGGCGTGGCTGTCAAGGAACTTATACAGTAAGTGGAGATGCAGTAAATAAGAATGAGAGCGCGTGTTTCCAGTGGTGACTTGGCCACAGTTTCTTTACAACAGCAACGAGTATGCAACACCCGCCGCACCAGTTCCTAATCTGCTTTATGTCTCCCAACAAATGGGCCAGTCTCAGGAATATCTTATGCTTGAAAAGAAGTCGCCGATGGCATCGTCAGGGGAAAAAGCAGACATTGTCTATTGCAAAGGCCAACCCTGCCGAATGTGCCGTACAGTCTCGGCCTATCCGCAGCTCTGGCAAGACTCCTAACCAGAATACACCTTGGGTACTGCCCCCCCTAGTAACAGTCTATATTCGGGGTCCTATTAAGGGCTATATACTCCCTGAAGGGTCCAAGGACCCAAATAATAGGGTTTTAGGGCCCAAATACTATACCGTTAATGTTACTGGGGCCCTTAAAGCCTATTATTTGGGTCCTTGGACCCTTAGGGCTCCTAACAAGAATGCACCGATAGTAACATGGGCAATACCCGCACCAGAAAAACATAGAAAAACTATTCAGGCGCACAGCGGTACTCTACTTTTGGCTTTTTGCAGGGAGCCACCAGGGGCATGCCAAGAGTGTACATGCCAGGGGCATACTTTGAGGCACCCTGGACTTGGGCAATAAAATAAACCCCCATGATAAGCCCAGTCTACTCCTATTGTACCCTTAAACCCTAGGCCCTTTAAAGTATGGTAGGGTCACAAAGTATCTCTAACCATCAAGGTGCGCGGTCATCCAGAGCAACAGGCTTGCACGGACTAACGGGGGAGTGGGGGTGTCTCTAAATAGTGGACTGATCTCGGCGGAGATATTTATAGGAACCACAAGAAAGGGAAGGCTTCTTGCTGGTGATCATAGAAAGCCCATTTTGAGAAAAGAGTTTTCATGTACTTTGAAGGCATCGTGCCTTAAAGCAAGCCAGAAAACCAGTCTCCTCGGGAAAGAACCCCAAATCAAGGCACCATGCAATAGAACCATGTGGACACC